AGCGAATGTTTTCGGTAAAATCCTCTGAAACTTTATTGATGCCATCCCCCTTCAACTGACGTCTCCCCCGTTCCATAACAGATTCCTTATCTTTATAAAATGTGAAACGGACAATGACTGGTCTGGTACCGGACTTGCTATGCAAGCGATGGGCGCGGTCAATGGGAACAGATGGTGCATTAAGCATGTTCAGTTTATTTGAGAGAAAGTCTCTAGCTTTACTTTCAACTGTGTCCCATGTTTCACCCTGTTCTTCTGCAATGCCATGTATAATGACGTTATTACGTCTGGACTGGGCCTCTAACTTGTCTGTAACAATTGTAGTATCCAGGGTAAGGATGATCTCCACACAATTGTAGTATCCAGTGTTAAAATGATCTCCACACAATTGTAGTATCCATGGTAAGGATGATCTCCACACAATTGTAGTATCCAGTGTAAGAATGATCTCCACACAATTGTAGTATCCAGTGTTAAAATGATCTCCACAGAATTGTAGTATCCATGGTAAGGATGATCTCCACACAATTGTAGTAATCCATGGTAAGGATGATCTCCACACAATTGTAGTATCCAGTGTAAGAATGATCTCCACACAATTGTAGTATCCAGTGTTAAAATGATCTCCACAGAATTGTAGTATCCATGGTAAGGATGATCTCCACACAATTGTAGTATCCAGTGTTAAAATGATCTCCACACAATTGTAGTATCCATGGTAAGGATGATCTCCACACAATTGTAGTATCCAGTGTAAGAATGATCTCCACACAATTGTAGTATCCAGTGTTAAAATGATCTCCACAGAATTGTAGTATCCATGGTAAGGATGATCTCCACACAATTGTAGTATCCAGTGTAAGAATGATCTCCACACAATTGTAGTATCCAGTGTTAAAATGATCTCCACACAATTGTAGTATCCAGTGTAAGAATGATCTCCACTGAATTGTAGTATCCAGTGTTAAAATGATCTCCACACAATTGTAGTATCCAGTGTTAGAATGATCTCCACAGAATTGTAGTATCCAGTGTTAAAATGATCTCCACACAATTATAGTACTCAGGGTAAGAATGACCTCCACACAATTGTAGTATCCAGTGTTAGAATGATCTCCACAGAATTGTAGTATCCATGGTAAGGATAATCTCCACACAATTGTAGTATCCAGGGTAAGGATAATCTCCACACAATTGTAGTATCCAGGGTAAGGATAATCTCCACACAATTGTAGTATCCAGGGTAAGGAGGATCTCCACACAATTGTAGTATCCAGGGTAAGGATAATCTCCACACAATTGTAGTATCCAGGGTAAGGAGGATCTCCACACAATTGCAGTATCCAGGGTAAGGATAATCTCCACACAATTGTAGTATCCAGGGTAAGGATAATCTCCACACAATTGTAGTATCCAGGGTAACGATGATCTCCACACAACTGTAGTGTCCAGGGTAAGGATGATCTCCACACAATTGTAGTATCCAGGGTAAGGATGATCTCCACACAATTGTAGTATCCAGTGTTAAAATGATCTCCACACAATTGTAGTATCCATGGTAAGGATGATCTCCACACAATTGTAGTATCCAGTGTAAGAATGATCTCCACACAATTGTAGTATCCAGTGTTAAAATGATCTCCACAGAATTGTAGTATCCATGGTAAGGATGATCTCCACACAATTGTAGTATCCATGGTAAGGATGATCTCCACACAATTGTAGTATCCAGTGTAAGAATGATCTCCACACAATTGTAGTATCCAGTGTTAAAATGATCTCCACAGAATTGTAGTATCCATGGTAAGGATGATCTCCACACAATTGTAGTATCCAGTGTTAAAATGATCTCCACACAATTGTAGTATGCAGTGTAAGAATGATCTCCACTGAATTGTAGTATCCAGTGTTAAAATGATCTCCACACAATTGTAGTATCCAGTGTTAGAATGATCTCGACACAATTGTAGTATCCAGTGTTAAAATGATCTCCACACAATTATAGTACTCAGGGTAAGAATGACCTCCACACAATTGTTGTATCCAGTGTTAGAATGATCTCCACAGAATTTTAGTATCCAGTGTTAAAATGATCTCCACTGAATTGTAGTATCCATGGTAAGGATGATCTCCACACAATTGTAGTATCCATGGTAAGGATGATCTCCACACAATTGTAGTATCCAGTGTTAAAATGATCTCCACACAATTGTAGTATCCAGTGTAAGAATGATCTCCACACAATTGTAGTATCCAGTGTTAAAATGATTTCCACACAATTGTAGTATCCAGTGTAAGAATGATCTTCACACAATTGTAGTATCCAGGGTAAGAATGATCTCCACACAAAATTAGTATCCAGGGTAAGGATGATCTCCACACAATTGTAGTATCCAGTGTTAAAATGATCTCCACAGAATTGCTGTATCCAGGGTGAGGATGATCTCCACACAATTGAAGTATCCAGTGTAAGAATGATCTCCACACAATTGTAGTATCCAGGGTAAGAATGATCTCCACACAAAATTAGTATCCAGGGTAAGGATGATCTCCACACAATTGTAGTATCCAGTGTTAAAATGATCTCCACACAATTGTAGTATCCAGGGTAAGGATGATCTCCACACAATTGTAGTATCCAGGGTAAGAATGATCTCCATACAATTGTAGTATCCAGGGTAAGAATGATCTCCACACAATTGTAGTATCCAGTGTTAGAATGATCTCCACACAATTGTAGTATCCAGTGTAAGAATGATCTCCACACAATTGTATTATGCAGTGTAAGAATGATCTCCACATAAGTGTAGTATCCAGTGTTAGAATGACCTCCACAAATATGCTGGTCGTAATGTGAAATGTAATATGAGATGAGAGACAAGAGTTAGCTCCCCTTATATACCTTTAAAAGGCTCAAGAATATACTCCAACTCCCTGTTGAGTGTGTAGTGGAGAGGTCCATGGGGTTTTGCGTAGCCACCAAAATCTGATCATGGGTCGGTCGGTCGGGAAAAAAAGAAAAAAAAAAACAACTTAATAAAGACAAAATTATCTGAATAATGTTCTTGATTCTCATATAATGTAATTTTATTACCATTTCCCGCATTCTTTGGACTTGTGGCAGCGTCTGATTAAAAGATTTTTGTATGACGAGGCGGTACGTGTTAGGTTCGAGACGGCGGTGTTCGAATGAAACAATCAGTTTTTTTGCTGGGTCGGCAATAAAATTAGAACGGTCGGTCGGTCGATGAGAAACTGCAATGCTAAATATGGCACGCCATTGTCCCCCCACTGTACAATGTTAACACTTGGAACATATACTCAGCAGCGAAAAAAAACGTCAGTACAAAATTAGATAGGCTCTGTTATCAAATTTTTACAGAAATGGACATAAGCGGATCAAAAACATGTTTGTGCACAATATCTTAACACATCAATGAATAACTCAATACATTACGTGAACGTTTGCAGTCCATTCAGACCCTTGACTTCAGTATCTAGTGTAACCACTACGAGCGGCAATAACTGCAGCACCACGTCTATGCATGGAGTGCACCAATCGATTGATGAAGGCCATTGGCTCCTTGAACCACACTCTGAGAAAGGGCTGGCGCAATAAATCGGCTGTGTTCGGCCTTCGTATGACATTATTCAGTCTCCTCTGAATTTCAGTTGGGTTTAAATCAGGACTAAGGGCTGGCCACTGCATAATGTTGACACCGTTCTGCTGTAGGAAGTCCCATGTAGCTCTGTTAGTATGGGCCCGGGCGTTATGATGCTGGACAATATTTTTCCGGTGACGTGCGAAATGTGGTATGATCTGGGGTCTGAGAGATTGGTCGATGTAGCGCACTGCTGTGATGCCGCCTCCTCTCCCTCGACCAAGGTTCTCGAACACCACTGGACCCACTCTCTGGTTCAGGCCTATTCCACCCCATACCATGATGCTTGCATCTCCCATCTCTTTCCATAACACATTGGTCTGAGTAACGCTGGCCAAGTAGTTGCCATATTCTTGTTCTGCCATCTGCAGTTGATACGCAGTACCGACTCTCATCTGTGAACAGAACAGTTCTCCATTGCCTGTATCGCCAGTTTTGGTGTTGTAGGGCAAACTGTAGACGTTCACGTCGACGACGAGGGGTGAGGATAGGTCCACGGTAAGGTCTACGGCAACGGAGGTTCCCGCTGTTAAGACGTCGGTGTACTGTACCAGTACTGATTGGTCTTCCGTGTGTTCCCACTGTCTGGCGTGCTGTTTCGGATGCCTGCATAAAGGGATTCTGTACATGCTGTCGCACAACATGGCGGCCTTGTCTTCTTGTGGCCACCCTTGGTCTGCCAGTACAGGGGCGATTATTTGTGGTGTTGGTGGCGCGTAAACGTTGCTGCAGCCTGTAGATGGTCCGAACGTTGACCCGGAAATGATTGGCAACGGTTTGTGCAGTGTGGCCAGCTTCAAGTCTTCCTGGCGCCTGGTTCCTCTGAGCTGTCGTGAGTCGCGGCATCCTGCTGACGTTGTAATGTGAATGTTTCAACCAGGTTTGGGGGTGCATTTTATTGGGCTGGTCCATGTGAACAGCACGTACAGCATGAGTTGCCATCTCGGAGATCAGGTTGCGTTTTTGAGACCATTTCCTGGGTTCCATTCTGAGTTTGGGAAGGAATGTCTTTGCTCAGGTTAAGTTGGAGATGTCAAAAATATACAATCAAAACATTAAATGAGTTTACAGTTATCCGTTTCTGCGAAGGAAAATTCCAAACAGACGTTTCTTTTGCTGCTTAGTATAGTTACACAAAGATTACCAATGTACCATCATCATATATGTGCTAATTACCAGCTCACAAATTCACAAATACATCATTCCTGTTGTGTTTCCACAAACGCATGATTTGTACATGCTGTCGCTTCGACACAATTTCTAAAAATAGAAATAAGAAAAGAATTAGAAATAAGGTGAGAGCATTTCCAGGTATTTACTGGTTCTGTCTGTTCCCAGATTGACATACTTGGCCACGAACTAAGGACTGCACGATGGGTAAGTTGTGGCAACAGCTGAGACAGGCGTCCGAGTTCGACAAACGACGGGGAGAGGTCGACACCTTCAACAAGGTATGTCACAGTGTGCACTTCATGGTTCCTTGCAGATACCAAGATATTCACACACGCACACACACACACATATGAACGCACGCAAAATTGTAAGTCTAATCAAATGTTTGAACACCATGTGTATATTACTATAGGGACGACACAAGGTGACGACTTGGAATTTACGTCACAAGACAAATTATGATCTGTAACTGTAATACCAGAAGATCTGAAGATAAAGGTGAAACGAGTCGTGCCAATAAGCATCTATTTTCTTATTACACTCACACACAGGCTTGGGGCGGTCAGGCTAGCTGATATGATTAATGTATGTCATCGTATCCCACTTGCGTGGACTGATTGCCATTATATCGACTCTAGATTGTCTAGTCCACACAGGTTCTTGTGGTCTTCAGGGAAACCTCTGGAAGAAACGAGGCATCACCATGACACCAGCCAAATACGGATTCTTCTACATGGGTGCCGGCGTGTCTGTAGATGTTGCCATATACAGCAGAGATGGCACTGTCACCGTCTCCCAAGGGGGTGTGGAGATGGGACAGGGACTCTACACAAAGGTAACAATATAATCTCACACCCAGTCACGCCACGTCCAATCAAGTGACCTTAAGCACACATTCACACAGTCTTCGAATGACATTAAGAAGTGAGACATTGGTAAAATCCCCCCGACCCCATCAAAACAAAGTCTGACAACATCCAATGTACATTGTAATGTACATCTGTCAACAAACTCGATCAGAAAATCACTATTTCCGAACACACAGCAAGAGCAATTATCATATTGTCATGTCGGAAGCTTCCAGCATCCTTTCCCAACAACAACTGGCGTGGATGAAAGAGGCCATAGACATATTTAGATTTCAGCCAGCCATGAACCGTGGCTGAGGAACGTTTTCTGCCCTTGGGACTTATTGATGTAATTATCTCTGTCCTCAACGAAATCCGACATGTGTAGGTGATGGTGCTGGGTTTGGTTCTGGGTTTGTTATCTCGGATGGCGGCACTGATAGTTTTGTAGTCTGTCTCACAGCCCCTGAACCCTGAACCCAGTATCTGCTCGTATACGCGTGAGTGAGAATACAGTGTGAATGCGTATCGTTTTTTTTAACTATTACATTGTCATTTGTGTCATATGTATTTCCTTCAGATGCAGATGGCAGTGTGATAAAAAAATTAGGTCTTGCACATAGTAGTTTGACGTGTTCGTGACTAACAGGGGACTAACAGGCCCGGTTGGTCCGGCTCGGTGGCCTGGTAGCCTGGTGGCCTGGTGGCCTGGTGGCCTGTTGGCCTGGTGGCTCAGTGGCCTGATAGCCTGGTGGCCTGGTCGCCTGGTCGCCTGAGAAATGCATGCCATCCACTCACAGCTGCGTAGCTCGATGCATGTTATGTCAGTTTTTTGGATTAGTCCCGAAACGTATATTTCCAGACCGGTGTGAGATAGCTGGGATAGTGTTCAATGCAGTGTTATACAAAACAGGCATGCTATAAAGCATTACTCTTCTGAGTGCATGTAAACTTGTAAGGCGAATTGTAATGCCAGATATCACATCATCTATGAGAATATGATATATATGTCCTGCATTAACCCGACGTTGTTGTTGTTGCAGGTGCTGCAGGCGGTGGCAAGCACCCTGGGTATACCCCTCAACATGGTGCGAATGCGACATGTCAACTCCCACTTGGCCGCCAACAACACCGTCACAGGTGGGAGTGTTTCCAGCGAGCACGCCGTCCAGGTAAGTCTCACACAACCAATTCTGGTTTGGTTAAGACTGCAGATTCCAGATCACAATAGAAACTGGATTGTCATTAACCTTTAGATAAAGGTTTAGATATGTGCTTTTATAAAGGGAAAAGTAGGCCTACCTGATGTTTAGTATACCATTTGTATGCCACTGTCAAATCAGAGTTCGTTTTTGATTCAGTTCAGTTTATTGCCCGACGTCCCCGTAGACAGCACACATTGTTTCAACATACTGAAGATGCACCGTCAAAACAAAGTCTAAACTTTTTTAATCTATTTAAAAGCTATTATCTATTTATAATACGCCATAGAGAAACATGGAATGGGTTGACGAGTCATGTATACCTTTCAGTCCGCCATAACCTGTTGTGAGACACTGAATGAAAGGTTGCAGCCATTCCGGACCAAGCATCCCGACTACGACTGGAAAAACATCATCGGCGTGGCAAGCCTCGCCAACGTTGATCTCACTGCGAAGCACAAGTACGTCGGCAATATATACCTACGACGATGTAAACCCTTTAACACATGCTGACATGTAAACAACCCTCTAACATATGCTGACATATAAACATCCCCTCTAACACATGCTGACATATAAACATCCCCTCTAACACATGCTGACATGTACACAACCCCTCTAACACATGCTGACATATAAACAACCCCTCTAACACATGCTGACATGTAAACATCCCCCTCTAACACATGCTGACATGTAAGATCGGTTTCTATTGATCGCGGAATATGCGGTGTGACCGGGTGATTGGACGTGGGTAACCAAACAGACCCGCTTCCGCGCGACGTTTGGCGACCGAGGAGTTGACATCGCATTCGCTACAATGTTCGAGGGTACTGCTGCCGCCTGCGGCTGGCTTTTAACGTCGGACAATGCACGGTTGCTTCATCATATTCGCGGATGATGTGATATCACCGGCATTCTACGCATGCGCTCGAAGAGTGATAACATAACGTGCCTGTTTATTATGGCTGCGTGTATCTCACCGATCTGAAGCTATGCGTTTCGAGGACAATCGGAAACTGACGCCAGCATCGTCGTACGCGGCGGCTGAATGAATCAGCCATTTCGGGCGACCGAGCAGGCCGCAGGCTATCCGAACAACGACCGCCGAACCGACCACCGAACACTGGGCGCCGGCCAGTGGCGATCGATGCGTCGAACTGCAGCGTGCTGAATTCAATTTTTATCACGCACCATCTGCATATGACACAGGCGTGATGTGGATTAAAGAGCGATGCGCATTCACGCGTATTCTTTCGCTCGCGCGACAATACGGCGTTCTGGGGCTGAGGAGTTCAGGGCTGTCGAGACGGAACTTTAAAACTATCGTTAACCGCCATCCAGCCGAGACAAATATATCATCGTCTGGTTCGTTGAACGAAGACAGCCCTCAATAGTCTAGCGAAACGTTCGCCAGCTGCGGTTGGCGAAATCTAAATATGTCTATGGCTCTTTCATCCGCGCCGGTATTGACGAAGGATAACTGGAAGCTTCCGTATGACAATATGATCGACCTTCTTTGCTGTGATGTTCGAAATGTTCTGATCGGTTGATGTAGTGTACGTGCAGTATTGCATTGAATGTTGTCAGTTTTGTTTGATGAGGTACCAATGTCATCGTTCGGCGACTGTGGTATTGATAACTATCGCTTCGATTGGACGTTATTGGCGTGACGGTGTGTATTGTTGCGGCACGTGTCGGTCCTGATACATCTCCACTTGCTGAGGACGTGACGAATTCTTGCGTCTTCGCAGCGACTGTCACGGGTAATATTGAAGAATCATTTGACGGTCAATGATGATATCGTTTGCTCGGGGACTGAAGTTTCCTGTTGAACTGAACAGAGTCGTGTAATGACGTCGGTCCGCGAATATTACGACGGAGCATGCATCGACTGGCCTGAACGCTATTACAATACCGATGATGATTGATAAGAAATGAATCAACTTTGGCTCGGTTCTGTATCGAGGATATTTCTGTTGGTGCAGATCATATTTTACGATGGTGATTCCGGATAATTCGCGATGAACAATGACGTGATTGTTCGAAACGTTTGATTGAACTTACGGTTGCGTCATTGATGATGTGGTGTTGATGATAATCAACGACGTCTTACTGAGGTAGTGCGCGTGTTGTACGCGTTGGTGTTCCAGATGGACTGACGCCGATAACAAACTTGTTGCCCGCAACACTTACGTCGTCATGTGTGTCGATACGAATGCTCTTTCACCATTTCTGTTCTTTCTTCATTTCTGTTTTTGAAATTTATTGATAGAAACGTTGAAATGTTACCGGAAATATCGTGGAACATGTAACGGAGATGATGTGTTTTATTGATTTTATGATACGACGATGGCGTATATGATGTTGTTGCTGAAGCGAAAAGAAAGCACGTTCTTGTTTAGTGAAACATTGATATGACTTTTCGTTTATTGTTTTGATTGTATGATGACATGACGCTCACGAAACAGAATGAACGCGATGTTCAAAACGCGAACGATCTTCGAGATGACGGCTTCATGCTTTGTTGCGTTAACGTTCGCGGCCGTATAGCTTCGGACTGGCTGCGTCGACGGGACTGCGATACACGACGGCTCGAGCATGAAAAACTGACTGACACCTTTCGCAAATGGAACAGCAATGGGGCCATCTACGGGCTGCGGCAACGTTTCAACGCAGCTATTCTTTCGAGACCAGGTGACACCAGCTTAAACCGATAGCGACGGCGGCTTTACCGGGCGTCGGCGAACAGTGAACAATCGCGGGGCGCGATACGCGACACGGCGGCGGGAACCTCGTTATGCAGACGTATCATCGCCCACTGGTGCCTGTACCAAAGGCTGGCGATTGGTGTTGCAGATGATTGTTGCTGCTGTCCCTGACTGCGGATGATGACATTTCACTTGACCGGCGTTGCCGGACTGTCTGTTATGAGCATCGTAATGGTGAATGGAAGCGGAAGGAGATTCGAGGTCAGTGGAATAGACGAAGAACATTGATCGAGGGAAGAGCGATAACATCGCAACAGTGCTATCATCTCCGGAGCCGAATCGCTACCACATTTCTTGCGATCTGTGATCAGCGCCTTTTGCCGAATGCATAACTGAGCTACATGAACTCATGCGGTCACGAAAGGCCGAACGGCTTTATTTTCACTCGGGGTGTTCAAAGGAGCCAATAATCATTGGTGCGCTCCATCACGTAGACTTTGTTATACCGGCTGCCGCTCGCTGGTACTTCAGATCTGCTGAAGTCGACCGTAATGTGTTAATTGATCGTTGATATTGATGCCTGGGCGCCGCTTTATCGATTTCTGTGAAATTTGATAACAGAGCTATCTGGTGACGTTTTTAAACGCTGGCCAGTGTTAACATTGACTGCAGTGAAGTTTGTCGTTCATCGACCGACCATTCGTTCTATTCCGGTAGCAAAACTAACTGTGATTGTTCATTCGGTACCGTACCTAAATCTTTCGGCTATAGCGAAATGCGGAAAATGTTGGCATACGTTATGATCAGAGCTGTCGAACAATTTTATTCTTTTTATAGTTGTTTTCTTTCTTTTCCCGACGCCATTCTGACTTCGAACACACAATTGACTGCACCCACCAGTTCTCCTACACACTCAACGAGTTGGTATATTCTTGAGCCTTTAAAAGGTATGAGAGACTAACTCTTGTCTCTCATCTCATCGATACATTCTTTATTACGACAACATCGGCTATTGGTCGACTCTGGCACTGGATACCGCTTGTATTGAGGAGATAAATTCTTGCGCTGCATCAATATTGATGATGAATCGTCAACGCCGGATACTGTTGATGGTCATTCTGGCGCACCGGATACTGACGATGATGGTTACCACGGATATACGGTTGTGGAGATCATTCAGCGCCTGAATGCTACGGTTATTATTGATGATCCTTGCCTGATTCTTTACGGTGTGATCATTTGTTGCTGGTCTTTACGGTGATGATAAATCATACCTGGATGCTAATTTTGTGTTAGTCGTTTCGGATCGACTATTACGCTGGATACTTCAATGATGAATCATCCTCACCCGCAGATACGGCGCATTCACTGATGGTCGTGTACTGGATACTACGGTGATCATTACGGATGGTACGTATTGAATTTGCCAGCTGATGATGATCGAATTCTTGCTGGATGCTACGGTGACAATCGTTACGGATACCGTTGATGATGATATAAACTAACTTGCACGGATATACGATTGATGATGATCGCTTTTGGCTGCTGGATACGGTGATCATCGCGCATGTTCTTGCGAATGATGATCATGGATACTTACGATGGGGTGTCATTGCAACATGTTGGTCATTCTGGCTTTGCTGGATACGAGGAACCGATTACTTCCGGTATTGATGAACGCTTTCCGGATACGGTGATAGAGGTAACGCTGGATATACGGTGATATTGGTCATTTGGCGCGCTGGATATATTCCACGCTGCGTACTATTGGAGGATACTACGGTATTATTGGAATCGTCATACCGTAGTTACTACGAAATTCTGTGAGGAAGACTGGTTTACACGGTTGATGAGTCATTCTTGCTGAATATATCATACCGTGGTGATTGTGAGGATAATGCATGGATACTACGATTCTTATTGAAGATCATTTTGACGCTGGATACTACGGTGATATTGAATCATTCTTACGCTGAATGCTACAATGGAGATTTACCATGGACAATTATTGATCATTTGGCACTGGATACTATTATGTGGAGATCGTCACAGTTCTGCATTGATGGTGCTACACGGAGATAAATGGTGCCTGGATGGTAATTTTGGATACTACGGTTGACCATTGGTGTACTTGCGGATACTGCGGTGATGATGAAGATCTACCACTGGTTACTACGAACCTCGCGGATATACGGTTGTTGTTAGTCTACGGTGATATTGAATTATCGCGCACCGGATACTACGGTATTGTTATTTTAATGCCGATGAACCAATGTACCGTAGTTACTGACGGATACAACTACGGTGGTCATTCTTGCCTGATGATTATATTGAATACAGCTGCTGAATACCCCTACAATTCTTTATTGGAAGATCGTTAACACTGAATACTGGTATGTGAGACTCATTGCTGCTGAATACTTAATTCAGTGGTATTCTTACACTGGATGAATCATTTTGTATGGATACTGATCGACTAACACGCTGAATACTACAATTGATTGATTTCATGGATACTATTCTATTGGTCTTTAACGCTGGATACTATTGATGATTCTTACGCTGGATACTATTGTGTCATCATACCGTAGTGCTGGTATTGAGTCATTTTAACGCTGGATACTACATTGTTATTGAGATCATCTACCATGAATACAATTCTGTGGAAGACTCGACACGGCACACTGGATACTGGTATTATTGACTAACACTGAATACTACAATTGATGATGAAGTCATCCTTACCATGA